CTTAAGTCACATTACAACCCTAAGAAAGTCCTCTTCGTTCATAATACAAGTGCTATGTAGTAGTGGAGATATAGAAAATTTTCAAGTCTATAATAGGGTGATTATTAAGTAAGCTTGAGTGAAATGTGCGTGCGCGCGCATGTTTTGGTTTGTTTGTATGTATGTATGTACGTATGCATTAATATTTTCAAAACCGGACCGGATATTGAACTAAAAAAGTCAGCGATTTACGGTTCGCATGGTTTAACTGGGTTAGACCAATGATTCAACCGGTGACATAATAATTAAACTAAAAAAATTATATATGTATATAATGATCTAAATATAAGAAATACATGTGAAATTGCTATTTAACTTAAAAAAATCAAATGTTTTAAGTTTATCATGACTTAACAAGCCACATGATATAACATAATATCAAATGATTAAAAAAAATTAGTCATTTTTTTTAAATTTGATAAAAAAATAAAAAAAAGTTTTTTTTTAACAGTTCGGTTTTTGAAAACTGGATCCGATTCCCGGCTTGATTTTGATTCTCGATTCGACCACCGGTTTGAAACGGCTTAACCCCTAAAATAGTTTTTTCCTCTGAACCAGACTTGTCGACGGTCAGACCATCCAGTCCGGTCTGATTTTAAAAACACTGGTATGCATACTCTAAATAGTTAGAGTTTACTTCATACACTTATCCTTGTGAGGTTACTCATTAAAGTAGACTTTTGGTAAAGACATATTTTGTAAAGTACTAAATTCTTTCTCTATTGCAATTGAATTGATAGCGGATAGGTGAAAATTCATTGATTTTTGAGTTGAAAATTTTGAACATTTGTTTGGTTTTTCATTTGTGTGTTTTTTTTTAATGTTTTGTAGGATTCTTTTTCACAAGGTTTTTCTTGAAATGTAAAAGTTAAGTGTGAAAAAATTGATAAGATATATTATTTACACACTTTTAGTAGCTTTTCAAGGCCATTTACACATGCATATAGGTTAAAAAGCATTCAAATTACAATTATAGTAAAAATGTGCCCAAATAGTGATATTTCATGCTCTAGGGGTATTTTAATTCAAAAATACACTTTTCAAAATTTACATGTTAAACATTGAGATTATGTATTTTAATTAGAGATGATTAGGGGTGTAATTAGTTTTGACTAATTCATCCTAATTGGGGAGTTATTAAAAAAAAAAAGACAACATTTAAGGTTGTCTCTCTAAGGGATTTTTGTTTGACCTAAGTCTTCTATTCTTGTGTGTGCACTCATACACTTGATTATTGTGAGGCCTTTATTTTTATTTACCCTTAGCCATTTTTCCCACCTAATATGAATTAATATTCTGCACTTTATTTAATTGTTTTATGTCACATATTAGATGAATTGATTATGTAATAAAAGGTGACATAGGTGGAAATGCATATGACTTGAAGACATAAGACCAATGAAGCTTCATGGTGACCAAAAGGAGTTGAAAGTGGTGTGAACAACAAGAGGAAATGGTGCAGCATAAGTCATCAAGGAGTGTGTAGCATGTGATCTAATGGACTAGTATAGGAATTATAACATTTCCCTCTAAATTGAGTAACACATTTTGGCCAACTCATTATGCAATTGGAAGATCACATTCTTTTTATTTAATTTTTATTCATTTCTAGCTCATTTGGCATGAATTCCAAAGGCCAAATCAAATCCCACTTGAATTTTCTCTCATTTATACATTTTCCTATGCTTTCTCGCATTTTCTCACTTGTTCTTCATTAGTTCTTCCATTGTTCATCTCGACCACTCTCTACATCGCTCTCAATTCTCACACAAAATTGACACTATTATCTTCCTCTCACTAAATTTGACTTGTCCTTATCATTTCCCCAAGATTGCAAAGCTTCAAATCCTCATTCAAGTGGAAAAGATATTCTGCCAAAGCAACCTTGTCAAGGAATCCATGGAAATGAAGATGAGAGGCTAGGTAACTTGGAGGAATCTTAAAGGGAGGAAGATGAAGGATGAATCATGAGCATCACTTGGCTAAGCTTTTTTATTTCCTAGCTCTTCTCTTTTGATTTGATGATTGCATATATTAGTTTAGGATTAGATCATCGTGGCTATGTAATTTTAATTTAAATTTTTTACTTGTGTAAAGAAAAGATGCTTGTGAGATTAATTTTTCTCTTGGTTGTCTTGGTATTGATTTTAGCCACCTTATGAAATTGGACATGTAATTGTGTTTTTCAATTGGTGATGGTTTGCATTGATTTTACATAGTCTTGTGAGATCGTTACTTGTTAGTTGAATAGTTTTACATAATCTTATGGTTGCTCAATTTTGCAGCACATTTGGCTGAGATATACTTAAGGAAAAATTAATTGCACACTTGACTAATACTTAAAATCAACTAGGGAAATGAACAAAGAACTTTAGTTTAAGACTCAATAAATTGAGCTAATTAGGTTAATTGGCTTAAAATAGTTGTCTTGAGCACAATTTATTTTGGTCAAGAGGTTAGGAAGCACCAAATGCCTTAAATGTCAAGAGAATAAGGATTCTTTCATTAACCAATCTTTAAGGTTCTAACTCTTTAAAGGGAATTTTCAATCCACTCGTTTTTGTCTAGAGCTTTGTTCTTTGTTTCATTGTTTTATAAAAATCAACTTCAAACATTTGGGTCATATATTCACTAGTTAATCTCATAATTAAAAATTAATCATTTTTAGGAAGATGACCTAGAATTGACCCTTATTGCACTTAGGGCTAATTCTAGAATTATTTTGAGAGGTGAGTGAGAATAAACTAAAATAAAATATAAATGATATGAATGAAACTTCATGGTTGAACTTGTATGACAACAAAATCCTAAATTGCAAAAATTAATAGAAATTTTATATTTTACATTGACATTTATTAAATTATATTAAATTAAAATGTATGTTAACTAAATAAAATAAAATAAAAATTAAATTTAAAGATAAAAATAAAGAGAACGATAACTATAAATTTAAAAGATTTTGGGGCCATTTGTTTTACCTTATTTTATAAAAAAATACTTATTTTTTGAAAAAAAATCTATTTTGCTCCCTCCAGTAAAAAATATAAGACATTTTTTGAGGAGTTAGATGTTCAAAAATATAAAACTTTTTTAGTCTTTCGAGGTGTAATCATTACCTTTTTTCAAAAGTGTCCCTATTGATAGTGACTTTTTATTTATTATAGAGTGTTTAATAGGGGTAAATATGAAAAGATAAGATTAGTCTGAAAGTAGGTAAGTACTTTATTGGAGGCAGAGATTCGGTGAAAAATACCTTACATTTTTTAACATAGAGAGCATAAGTTTTTATGATATTTATTTAAATTTTTAAAAATAATCAAAATTTGAAAAAAAAATTATATTTTTAATTAAAAAATAAATAATTTTTATATAGTTTAAAAATTTTATAACAATAGATTTAATTAATAGAAATTTTATAAAAAATATTATTTTATGTTTGGTAACAATAATAAAAAGCAGATCAAAGAAGATATCATAAAATTTAAAAATAACTAATTAATAATTATATTTTTATTATTGTAACCAAATATAAAGCAATATCTATTTTTTTAAAGTATTTATAAAATAAATATCTTTTTTTTGTGACATCTCTAAACTATTAAAAATAATTTATTTTTTAGTCTTAAATTGAGGGCCCTTACTTATTATTAAGGTATTGAAAACTGTATTAATTATTGAACCAGTTAAAGATAGGGATTAATGGTTCAGTTGGAGTCAAACCAATGGTCAAACTAAAGTTAGACCGAACATAATAAAATAGTATATTTTAAATAAATACTCATTGATTATCTCATATAACATATAAAAATAATTCTAACAATAATTAAAAACTCACATAATAATAAAATTAAATTGACCAAAAATAATAATAAAATATAAATATAGAATTAAAAAGAAATCAAAATAAAAATTTTTCATGTTAAAAATATATATATATATATATATAAAGAGATGGGATAAAATGTGCATGGTTCAGTCAAAAAAAGAAAAAATGTGTATAGAGAGATGGGATGCAATAACAAAGCTGACATCAATAAAGCTATTGGTGCTGGTTTCAACTTTGAATAGAAGAAGTATTAATCCTTTCGTTTCCTTCTTCATCTTTCACCTGATTCAGCCTCTCTTTTCCTCGTGAGAACAGCCCCACCAGCACACGAGACAAAAACTATGGCGAGTGATGGACAATAGCAACAGAGTTGGTGGTGAAGCAGAATTGTTAACAAAACCCAAATAGAGTTGAGAAGGTAAAAAAACGAGACCCACAAATGACAGACACTTGTAATTTGAAGATGAAAAGGTTGAAGGTTTGTTTTTGTTCTTTTCGAGCAAGTCATGAGCAAAAGATCAAAGCTGAGACGACTGATGAGAGGTTCTACTTTTTTTTTTTTTTTTCATATAATTTGCCCAACCCACCTGATTCATGGGTGGTTGGACAAGTTAATTTAAATTAATTTCAAATCAATTGAGTTAACTCAAGTTAACTAATATCTAAAAGAATATAAATTTAGATTGAACACTTAATTTGCTAGTTCACCTAGCTAGTTCGATTCGATTTTGTTTTATAAATAATGTTTGTACACAATAAAAAAAAATCACTTGCAACACTTAAAAAATTATATATTTTACATAAATAATAAAATTTTAAATTTCAATCATGGTTTAAACTCCTCCTGCATTTCAAGGGAGAAGAACCCTTCTCCTTAAATAACATTTTGCCTTCATCATTCTTAGATTAAGATTTTTAAAATTCTGATGGTTTTAATTTAATATTTTATAAAATCTTTCAATTCAAATTGCTAAAATTCGATTGAAATAATTTAAAACTGTAAAGTATTAATCAAATATTTTATAAAGCTATTTTTTAAAAAATTTTTTATAATTTAAAATAATTCAGATAAAAATTTAACACTTTCAATTTATACATATGTAAAATAATAAATTAGAACCGGCAAAAACTTCGATACAAGGAAAAGCAAAAGTCGATGAGGGAAATCACACGCTAGCTGAAGGTTCGTTGGCTCTATCAAAGAAGGGCTAATAGCCATGTCAAATTGTAAACGTAGTTCGAGTTGCAATTTCAGTGGATCAACTATTCGTTGAGTTAATTAAGGTATGCTCTCCTCTCATCACTCTTCTATCTATCTGTTCGCGTCTTCCTCTATTATGTTCTTTTCTGTTAGTATTCGGTGATTTTTATGCTTTGGCCTCTCGCTAATGATTCTGAACTTCGATTGATGATTTGAACATGACGGGACTGTGGATTTTTTGTGATCTATTCGTTCTGGTTAGAGTGATGAATACTTTTCCTTCCCTTAACGGGAAGGACCCCTAATCTTTGAAGGACCCGCTCATAAATGGCTAATGTTTTCCCTCCCCCTCTGCTCTTTGGAGTCAAAGTTTTGGATTTGGTTCTTTTTCGTAATTATCGGATCTAACGTAGTCCTTTTTCCAATTGGTTGAAGGTGTCAGGCCTTTCAAGTTTATATTTCTTCGGATCAAAGTGCTCAGGTCTCAAGACTATTGGATATGGTAACTAGACGCAACGTTCGTTATTCTCCTCTTGCCACAGATGAGGATAGCTTTATTGATACTACTGGCTTGGATAGACCATTTGACCCTCGTTTTGATTTTACCCCAAGAGCACTAGACAGAGTTCCCTGGAAATCCATTGCCCTTGCACTCTTCCTGTTGCTCCTCGGGACAACGCTTTTGGTTATTTCTTTCTTTGTCTTCACCGGTCACATGGGTGGAGAGCGGTCTCAAGCTTATGGCCTTTTAGTCCTAGGGATTCTCAGCTTTCTCCCAGGTACGATGGATTCTAAGAACTTTTCATGCTGTAGGTAAGCCCTTTCTGGTTTCACGCCAGGCAAATGAAGTTAATGGTTTTTGTAAACTAATTGAGACAAGACATATGCTTATGGATCTTCTTATTGGTATTCATGCAACAAGTAATATGATATAATTTAACTTGTGCATCTCTTTTCCTTTAAGATGGAAAGCTCAAGCAAGCATGCTGCAAAATTTTTATCATTTTTTGAAACTTAAAATGAATTCAGTGAAATTAGTGATAGGAAATGTACTTGGTGATTAGTGGAGAACCTACAGAAGTGTCTTGTGATTCGCGAAATAAAACTAAAGGGAATAGGGAATAGGGAAAGAATCAAAGCACATTTGTTAATATGCATGTATGGTAGATGATGGCCCTGCTTGACCATTGGAGGCTCCAGTAAGGATTTTCTGCCATCTTGAACAATCTTCTGCCACTTTCTCCTTCATAGCTTGCCAAGTTGTCTTCTTATATGATCACCCCTCTGTTAAAAAATATAAGACATTTTTAACCGAATCTCATCTCTTAATAAAGTAGTTAATTATCTTCAAACTAGTATTATTTTTTTATATTTACTCTTATTTAATAGAGTGTTTCACTTTAAAATCAATATAAAAATATTTATTTATTACGGACACTTTAAAAAAAAAATATATTAATTATACTTCGAAATGTTAAAAATGCCTTATATTTTTTAACATCTAACCCCTCAAAAAATTCCTTGCAGTTTTTAATATAAGAAGTATCTTTTTTAGTGTGACCACCTGCCAATCACAACATCCTCTTTTTTATTAGCCCCATTTTATGCTCATGTTACCCTTTCTATGCCTAACATTTGCTGCCATATAACTATGTAGGTCTTATAATAGTTTGATAAAACTTTTCTTTAAATTTAGTAGGAACCTTGAGATTGCAAAGAATTCCTAATGCTTTCCTCCATATCAACCCTGCGTGTATCCTACGCGTAACATCTTCTTCAATTTTACTGTCATTTTGCAGAATTGATTCCAAAATACTTGATCCTTGTTTCTCATGGTATCGTTTGCTCTCCAATCTTTACATCTCACTCATTTCTAACTCGCCTCTTATTAAATTTGCAATGCAACAACAACAAGCCTTTATCCCACTAGGTGGGGTCGGCTACATGGATTGCAAGACGCCATTGTACTCTATCATTTATCAAGCTTTTAGGAATATTATTAATTAAGAGATCGCGCTCAACAACTTCCAAAAGTGTTCTCTTAGGCCTTCCTCTACCTCTCTTAATCGGACTCAAAGTTATATGTTCTACTCTTCTCACTGGTGCCTCCCTTGGTCTTCTTTGTACATGTCCAAACCATCTCAACCGATTTTCTACCATTTTTTCCTCAATAGGTGCCACCCTCACTTTTTCGCGTACGTGCTCATTTCGAATTTTATCTTTACGTGTATGTCCGCACATCCATCGTAACATTCTCATCTCTGCTACTCCAACTTTATGCTCTTGCTGTCCCGTTAGAGCCCAACATTCACTACTATATAACATTGCCGGTCTGATAGCAGTGCGATAAAACTTTCCTTTAAGTTTATTAGGCACCTTACGGTCGCAAATAACTCCTTTGGCTTTTCTCCAATTAAACCACCCAGCTTGAATTCTATGTGAAATATCTCCACTGATTTCGCCATCATTTTGAATAATGGCTCCCAAATATCTAAATTTTTCCACTTGAGGTATAATTTGATCTCCCAATTTCACTTCCAAATTATTGTCGAATAGTCCTTTACCAAATTTACAATATAAATATTCCGTCTTACTTCTACTCAGACGAAAACCTTTCGACTCCAATGTCCTCCTCCATAACTCAAGTTTGCAATTAACCTCTTCTCTTGTCTCTGCTATGAGAACTATATCATCCGCGAAGAGCATACATTTCGGAATTTCCTCTTGAATATGTTCCGTCAAAACATTTAAGATCAAGTTGAACAAATAAGGACTTAGAGATGATCCCTGATGTAGTCCAATCTTTATAGGAAAATCCTTTGTTTGACCACTAGGCGTTCTTATACTAGTTTTTACCCCCTCATACATATCTTGTATGGCTTTAATATAAGCAATCCGTACTCCTTTTTTTTCCAACGCTTTCCAAAGCACTTCTCTTGGTATACGGTCATAAGCTTTTTCCAAATCAATAAAAACCATATGTAGATCTTTATCTTTACAACGATACTTTTCCATTAATCCCCTTAGTAGATAAATCGCCTCTGTAGTTGATCTACCTGGCATAAAACCAAATTGATTCTCAGAAATACTTGTCTCCAATCTCAACCTGTGCTCAATTACTTTCTCCCACAATTTCATTGTGTGGCTCATGAGTTTAATCCCTCTATAGTTAGTACAATTCTGAATATCCCCTTTATTTTTATAAATAGGAATTAATGTACTTCTCCTCCACTCATCAGGCATTTTCTTGGACCGTAAAATTACATTAAATAACTTAGTTAACCATCTCACCCCTTCTTCACCTAAACATTTCCATGCTTCGATAGATATACAATCAGGTCCGTTGGCTCTACCATTTGCCATTTTCTTAAGAGCTTCCTTTACCTCCTTATCACGTATTATTCGATAGAATGACAAATTTTGTTCTCCTTCACCAGTTACTAAATCCTCCAAGTTACTAGATGAATCCTCTCCATCATTGAAAAGTTTAGAAAAGTAAGTCTCCCATCTATTTTTAATTTCATCATCTGTAACTAAAATTCTTCCCTCTTCATCCTTAATACACCTTACCTGTTCTAGATCTCTTGATTTTCTTTCCCTACTCTTGGCAATCTTATAGATATTTTGCTCTCCTTCCTTCGTCTCAAGGTTCTTATAAAATTCTTCAAAAGCTTTAGAACGAGCTTCACCCACAGCTCTCTTAGTTTCCTTCTTAGCCATACGGTACCTCTCCCAATTTTCCTCATTGTTACACAAATGTATGGCTTTAAAACAATTCTTCTTATACTTGATTTTGTCTTGTACACTATTATTCCACCACCAAGTCTCCTTATCTCTCGGACCAGAACCTTTCGATTCTCCCAAAACTACTTTTGCAACCTCCCGTACCTTTTTAGCCATATCCTCCCATATGATGTTAGCACTTCCCTGAGATTCCCAAATTCCTTTATCCAAAAGATTTCGCTTGAAAATATCTTGCTTCTCACCTTTTAATTGCCACCACCTAATCCTTGGTGTTATTACTTGTCGACGTTTTTGGATTTTACTCATAATACACACATCAAGGACTAGGACCCTATGTTGTGTCGTTACAGCATCTCCGGGGATCACCTTACAATTTTTACAAAGTCTTCTATCTGTGTTCCTAACCAAAAGAAAATCAATCTGTGACCTTAAGGCTCCACTTTTGTAAGTGATGAGATGCTCATCTCTCTTCTTGAAACAAGTGTTGGCAATCTTAAAATCATACGCCAATGAGAAATCAAGAAGAGTTTGTCCTTCATTGTTTAGTTCTCCAAAACCAAAACCACCATGCACCCTCGCATACTGACCAGCTTCCCTCCCGACATGCCCATTAAAGTCTCCTCCAATAAAAATCTTTTCACTCTGTGGTATGTGTCGAATCAACCCCTCCAGATCCTCCCAAAATAATTCTTTAAGACTGGCTTCTGTCCCGACTTGCGGCGCATAAGCGCTAACAATGTTAACAGTCTCACGTCCAATTATCATTTTTAAGGAAATAATTCTATCTCCAATTCTGCTAACTTCTACAACGTTCTTCTTCCACTCCTTATCTATAATGATGCCTACTCCATTGCGTGCATTTACTTTTCCTGTATACCAAAGTTTGAAACCTTGAATATCCTTAGCTTCTTCTCCACGCCATTTTGTTTCTTGCAGGCAAAGGATATTGATTTTCCTTTGAATCATAACCCCTACAACCTCTATAGATTTGCAATGCATGTATTCTATTTTGCTCCTATTCAAGCAAAACAATGGAAGGTCAAAAAAAAAAAGAAAGAATAAAGATGGCTTCATCTTTCAATTCTGCTGTATTGATTTATTGTGATCATGCAATTTTAATTACCAGTCACTTCAATTCAAAGAATAAAGATGGCTTGGGGTGAATTACATGAACATTCCATTGTTCTTTGTCCTTTCGAATGTTCATAGATTTCTGTCTTACTGTGATCATCAAACAGGTCGTGTCAGGATCATTGACCAATCAAGGACCTTCATACCCTAATTACTCCTATACAATTAGGTTTTGGAAGTTGTGGAGGAATATTTTTTTAGTGGGGGTTGGGTCGAGGCTGGGTTTTCATTGGTACAATGCTTCATGGATTTGTTTAGTAGGCATGCATGTATGTATGAAATGGATGACATTATTTGTCACATGTTTCTTGCATTTTACATAAATGTTTTTTCTGCTGTAATGCTCTTTTCGTCAACCGTAATTGGCTCACCAATGACATTATTTGCATGGTATTGACGCAAAAGGAGCAGAAATAATTTGTATTTCCTTTAGGGAATTAGGTTGTTATGGTCAACATCCTAATTTTTTTAAGTCAAGCACACCTACAGGAACTGTGGGATCGCATTGCATATATCCCAACTGTGGTGTCGCAGATGTTTCTGCCATGTAACTATGTAGTTATCTGCTTTGTCCGTCTCAATCTCTGTGTGACTGAACTCTCAACATCCGTGTCTCATCTTCTGGGATGCAGGCTTTTACGAGACTCGAACAGCATATTATGCATGGAGGGGTGCCAAAGGTTACAGTTTTGCTGCCATTCCTGCTTATTAGGGCTGTACAGTTCAATTAATTATCTTTCTTTTGATGTCTGTTTGTTAGTCTTATCTTAAACCACGGATAAAAAAACACTATAGAAGTGTAGTCTTCGTTCTTATGTTATTGATTAATGCAGCATCCAACTGAAAAATCCTGTGCATAGCTTTCCACTGTATTGCTCATAAGTCTGCTTATGAATGGCCCGAGTAATGGATGAGAGTCAGAAATGTCAAATTCATTTGCACGCCTTCTTTCTGGACCAAAGCTGTTCAGTTTAACTGCTTCCGCTGTATACGGCGTGAGAAAAGTCTTCGGCATATCTTTTATAATATGTTGACCAAGAATTTATCTGTTTGATAGCATGTGATTAACTTTTACACTGTGACCAACGCAAAATATGAAGGGCCAGGTCCTTTGAATTCAGCAGCAGCCATCCATTACAGCTCAAACGTCGCATCCATTCAAATACGGACAAAAAAAAAAAGAGAGAAAACGATTGAGTATGAGATAATGATGATTACACGGAAGAGGGATAGATTTCTTTTTTGTAAAAGAAAAAAAAAAGAAAAATTGTTTGTCTTGTTCTTTCCTGATTGTTCTTTCCAGATCATATCCCTCAATCAAGCTGGTTGTCATTCCTCTTAAAATTTTATAAGGGTCAATCTTCTTGATTATGTTATATCTCATAGTGACACTTTTTTTATTCATGATGCAAAAATATCGTATTTTCTAACAATAAATCAAAACTAAATATTCTCCCAAAAAAATGAAGATTAAATGTAGTAGTTCAAATCCAATTATTGTTTATAGTGAATAATATTATTCTCTTTGAATTTCATGTTTTCGACCCGGACAGAAGGTCTTGGATGAAAAATATTGTATGTTATGAAGAATTTAAAAGCAAGAAAAGGTAATGCAATAGTTCATGAACAAGAGCCCAGAGCATATGGGGAGAATTCGATGGCAAAATAAAAAACCAAAAAATAAAATCTTTATGTCTTTATATATAATAACACTTCCTCCGTTTCTTTTATATGTTGTTTAAGGTTTATATATAAAAATTAAGAAATATAATTAATGTGTTAATCTTCTTCCTAACCTTCCTAATATACTCTTGCTTAGTAGTCCTTTTTCAAAATTATGCCCCAATCATATATGAAGGTATAATTGACAGGATAACAATTAATATTGTATTGAACTTTTAAAATAACATTAAAATATAAGCGCATATATATATATATATATATATTAACAAAAGTGACATATAATAAGAAATGGAGGGGAGTACAATTGCTTGCTTCACAAAACGGTTCACCAATGTTCCTTCCTTCTGTGAGTAAGAAATTCTGTGTACTTCTACAAGGCGGGTAATTTTCTCATGAAATTGCCTTTTTTATGCGCTTTATTTGGAAAAATAATAATAATAATTCATCCATTTCCAGTCATGCAGTCAAATTCCTAATGTCTGAAATCTGAATATTTGACTTTGACATGTCCAGGTTCAAAGAGTCAAAAGGCACTAGAACTTTGTTCTCTTTTTATTTTGTTATTTGTTTATTTGCAAGCTAAACCCGAGCCGAAGATTCTGAACGCCCTTCATCGACAGAGGATACCGAAAGTCCGAAGCGAAACGAAAGAAACCTGTATTTCTCTGCCGCTTCAACCTCGGCGACTCCGTCATTTCCGAGGTGCAAAACCTCAAACAGTGATATTTTTATTTTTATATTTTATTTTCAATTGGATTTTATCATTCAATCATTGTTTCTTTGGCCGCAAGCTTGTTTCTGTTTCAATTTCAAACCAGAAAATCAATTTCCTTTGCGAAAAAAATCAACCTTTGGTACTGTTGGAAGATTGGTCACAATTGATTGAGCTGTATGCAACAAGTATCGATAGAAAGTGAACTTTGTACTTATTTTGGCGCATATAGGTGGCGCTGACACAAGCGCTGACAACTTTTCTGGGGGGTTACGCTTTCGACGGAAATAGAGACTGTGTGAAAAAGACTCGCTTTCAGGCGTAATTCTTTGTTCAGCTTGAGGTAACTTTTGGTTAGTGGGAGGGACTTCTTAGATTAAATTGCAAAATTCACAAAGGAATTTTTGTAAATAATCTCTTCCGGGAACAAGAACGCAAGTTTTGCTGTTATTGGTCATTTATATAATTGAGCAGAAGTTGAACTTTGTCAAATCCAGCTTGGCTTATTCTCTCGAGGGTGCAAAATTATTTTTGCTGTCTTGGACAGATTTGACAAAGAAGTTAATAATATCTTCCACTGTATTTCTGGGATGGTCCTGTATGTAAGAATGGATTGAGCATTCACTTATTTTGACAATTTGGGGATTTGAATTGATCGTAAAACAACTTTTGAATTTTGAGCTTGGGAGCCTGAGGTTTGTTGTTGAGGTGGGAGTTTTGTTCCTAGTGATGGATGAACCTCAGGGCAGTTCTAGCACTCTGCCTCCTTTCCTGACGAAGACTTATGAGATGGTGGATGATCGTTCCTCAGATTCGATTGTTTCCTGGAGTGCCACTAACAGAAGTTTCATAGTATGGAATCCGCCAGAATTTGCAAGTGAGTTGCTACCAAGATTCTTTAAGCACAATAACTTCTCTAGTTTCATCAGACAGCTCAACACATATGTAAGCAAATTTAATCTTTATACTGGTGATGCCAAGCTCAACACATATGTGGGATAAAGGCTTGTTGTTGTTGTTGTTGTATACTGGTGATGCCACCACCTGTTTTGCTTTTAATTCTCCCTTCTACTTTTGTTGCTTAAACGTAGTAATGAACTAATGATCTCTATTTGAACAGGGTTTTAGAAAAGTTGATCCAGAACAATGGGAATTTGCAAATGATGATTTCATAAGAGGTCAACCGCATCTTTTGAAGAATATACATAGACGAAAGCCAGTTCACAGCCATTCTTTACAGAGTCTCCAAGGACAAGGAAGCGCTCCATTAACAGAATCAGAAAGACAGAGTTTGAGAGGCAAAATAGAGAGGCTGAAACATGAAAACGAACAACTTTGTCTTGAGTTAGAGAAACATGAACAGGAGTGGCAAGTAAATGAGATTAAAATAGGATGCTCAAAGGAGAGATTGGAAAAGTTGGGAAGGAAGCAACAAAAGATGCTCTCTTCTGTTTCTAAAGTGTTGCAGAAACCTGGAACTGCCTCAAATCTCTTGCAATTGTCAGAATCCCTGTATAGAAAACGAAGGTTGCCAAGAGGTGGTTACTTTCGTGATGAAGCTGTCATCGAAGACGCTACTGAAACTTCGTCTGTGATACCAAGAGATAATGCAGATATAACTTCTGTTCTGTCATCAACTGTGGAGAGACTGGAACAGCTGGAGTCATTACTGCTATTTTGGGAGAACATTGCTCATGATTTTAGTGATTCCTTTGTTCATAGCCATTCAAATATGAATCTCGATGAATCTACAAGTTGTGTTGATAGTCCTGCTATCTCTTGTATGCAACCTGATGACGAACTTCACCCTACATCACCTGGAATTGACATGAACTCTGAGCCAGCTGGAGCTACTGTTTCTGATCCTGCTTCATCAAAAGAAAAACCTGTGGGAACAACCACTATAGCAGCAGGCGTTAATGATGTATTCTGGGAACAGTTCTTGACAGAGAATCCTGGTTCCTCAGAAACACAGGAAGTACAGTCAGAACGAAAAGATTCTGATAGCAGAAAAAATGAAGGAAAAACTAGTGACCGGACTAAACTTTGGTGGAGTGTGAGCGATGTAAATAACCTTTCAGAACAGATGGGGCATCTTAGTCAAACAGAGAAAACTTAATAGTGGATGGTTAATCCATTTAGCATGCGATGCCCTACATTCACTTGTAAAATTTAGGTATGAACTGTTTTCTCAGCAATAATTTCTTACTCCCTATTTGTAGTTGGATGCTGTGTCCTCCAATGTTTGGGTGATTTTAAGGTATGAGTAGTCTATTTTTTTGTTCTACTTTGCCTAAACCTTTCCTGAACTGTGATGTTGGTATGAGCATTTGCATTTTGAATTTTCTCTATGATCCTGTCCTTGTGTTACATAACCATATGGTGAATATAACTACCTGATGACCTTCAATTTCAACCCAAGGTGATAAATGGTAATGATAACTTGTAGTTGTCAGGAGTCATGAGGGAAGGGATCTAATGGTGTGTCTTGAGTCTTGACAAGTCCTGTATGGAGCTTTGGCTGAACTTTACTATAATTGTAGGCAGGAGGAAGTGTAGTAAAAAATCTTGTTTGGATTTAATTAAAAGTGGTATGAGTGAATTTTGAATAGACTTTAAGCAAGTGGAAAAAATAATATATGATGTATATCTTATTACTTTTGAAGGGGGAATTTGGTGAATCTCCCATAATTGGGATTAAGGTTGAGAAGCAGTAGTTTTTGTCAACTGCTTTTACTTTTCAATGCCATCAGTATTTAGAGACTATGCATGAGCATGTTCGTTTACAGAAAGAGCGAAAAAGGCTGTGGATTTCATGTGTCTGAGACAGAATATCACAATTAGATAACCAGAGATCGCTAATTATGGGATTTTTTTCATTTGGAAGATACAAGATATTCTGAACATGTATTCTTCATTCATTAATTTTCATAGGCTTTTTTTACCTTGTGATGAAATCCACTACATTCCACATGCTAGAGTTGGATATGATATGGTATTATTTTTCTTTAAAGAAAGTATTTGTGCATTGAAAATATCAGTCTATTATTTTGGTCCTTATGTAATTAAAATAACAAAACCTATTGCAAGAATCTCCAACGGTTGAAACACATGCTTACATGATTGTGCTTTTTATCATACATCATGATGATGATGATGATGATGATGAAGAGAAAACAAAAGCATTTCCCACCCTTATGCATGTGGGGAGAGAGGGAGAGAGATAGAGAGCTTACGACTACTTTAACTGCAAGATCACAGGAGTTAGGTATATGATATATGCGAATGGTTTTTGTCAACTTTTCTAAAAGAAAAGGAAAAAGGAAAAGAAATCTGGTTCCTGGCTTCCTCCTCTAACTGATGTTATGTTTTCTGTATATATGGACCTTTTAACTTTTTAGCCTTTCAAATTCAATTGCTTATTTAATCATGGAACTATTTTGCTGTCCCGTGCACAACGGAGCCATTTTCTTTCTTTTCTTTTTTTGATGAGTTTGAGGAGTAGACTCCGCCAAGCATAGAGAATATCTGTACTGAGGTACTGAAAACAATGGGTAGGCCTCTCCCAATTAAATTGCTATATGTATATATATAAGAATTGAAGTTTGAACCCTCAACCACTTGCTTAAGTAATGAGAACTTTTACCACTCATGTCAAATTAATTTAGTTGGTACATAGCCATTTTCAATTAGTCTTAAACATATATACCAACCAGTTTCCAAAAGCCATATTCTGCCTCAACTATTATCTTCAATAAGTTCTACTATTTGGACAGTATGTTGTGTATGCACGCTAGAGGAGAGTCATGAATGTCCAAAAATTGAAAATAAAAAACCAAGAGGAGGTTCGTGACATACTACTGACTCATTTGGTGCTGTAAGATTTTGATAGATCGAGAAATAGTTGGTAATGCCTGATTTCATGCTTCTCTTATGACTGTCTTTTTTCATTGATAGGAGCAGGTACTTCAGATTATCCTTAAGTTTTGGGTGCTCTTGTTTCTTGCTATCAGTGTCAAATGGGGGAGGAGAAACGCATGTACATTGGATTGAGCTTATGCATAATATTATAACTGGCAATTGCTTTTGATGACATACTTGCAACAGATGCGGTTTTTTGCTTAACTTGATAATTGGACCTTGTCTTTTCTAGACCGGAGTAGATATTTCTTGATTGTAGAAATTTAGTCCGCGAGAAGCTGGTCTGCTTCCTCAATAATATTAGTCGCTCAGTTTATTAAAAATTTGAGGATGATGGGAGATTTTTTTTCTGTATCCATTATTTGCCCTTTTGCCCCCGAGTGGAAGGGGGTTTGTAATTGAGCCATTGAGTTACTACTCAAAGAATGTGTATAGACATCTGAAAGGATTACTCCTGATTAACTTAATTGACCCCTTCGCATAACCACTACAAAAGTGCTCATTCTGCTTAAAATAATCGCGTATAAAAGAAATATATTCAAGGCTGTTAAATTATAATCTTTTTTTTTTTTTTTTAAGGTTGGAAAGGAGGTTTCAGCCTTTGGTGTAGGAAGTGAGGAATGGATTATATATGTTTTTGGCGGCATGAACCTCGTCTTTTATAGATTCCATTTCCTTAGTATACTGAAATGTAATTATTATTGAATGTATATATGGTTATTAAAAGATCATTAAAACTGCTTCCAGGTTTTACCAAATAAACCATGATGGGGTGGAAGTAGTAGCTTCTGTCGTTCTATTTTGTCTGTTGAGTCGTTTTGGTGGCGGTGTTTCTGCTTCAGTGTAGTCGGCTAGGATGATAAATCGGTTTAGTGGTTTGGTGTCGTGTGTTGTACAAGTTAGTGGAGGCAGCCTTCTGAGCAGAGTAACGACCTCCGTGGTACTTCATAGCAGGTCTAGTAGCTTGGTGTCGTGTCGTACAAAGTCAGTATGGTTAATTTTTTTTGTTTTTTAAGAACGGTATGGTTATTTTTGTAAGCGAGCAAGCTGACAATTAAGAAAATAGTTTTTGGCTTTTGTATCTAATCATCGAGTCAGCATGTGCATTTCCTTGACTAATGTTCTGTCGGTTATTATTATTATTTTGTTTTTCAGAAGATATATTTATAACAATGGGCAACATATAAAAAATTTACTATTTATCATCTGGGGAGGTTATATTCTTAAACATCAAATCTTTACTTGTATAAGCTTATGGCACCAATATTTGAACAATTTCGTCGGTGGCCGTTAACCTGTCGTTTTAGCTCCCATCATTGGAATAAATAAATAAATACACTTACCACATATTAGAAGATCATATGGAAACTAGGTCTATATGTATAATAGTTGTAACATGTGACAGGCCTTGTTGCGCGTGATATTGTTGTAGCCATCTCATTCAACAAAACGCATCAAATGTGACGATGAAAGAGACTCTTGAAGTTGGTTCCTGACATATTATCCATCTGTGTTCCCCAAGTGGGGACTTAACGTGTGCAACTAATTTACCCGAAGCCTAGGGTTATTGCTTATGCTTATGTTTTATGTGCCTCTGCCTGTGTGCGTGAGAGAGAACTGGGTCACACTAATGTTCATCATGAACTTAAACAGGGTGATTCTGATTCAAATTCAAGTTTCTTATAATCAAGAAATGAGTACTCATGGTAATCCTTTGGTGAGTTTTAAAATTTCTCAACGATGTCTACATAGTTCTGTTTATGTTCAGTCATCATCATGTATATGCGTCAATACGCAAGGCCAACATTTGGGCTGAGAGTCCAAAACCTAGTTGCAGCATGTTATTTGTGTATGTTATTGATACTATTCTTGAGATGATATGAAAAGAAGGTGAGCAAACTTTACTGCTTCTGCAAGAACAGTAATGTCAAGTACCCACCAATTTGACTTTTAGCACTGCTAAGTTTAACGTTTGATGCAGAATCTAGTTATGGTTCTCGCATTATTTATTGGAGGACGCATCAATGCCCTGATTTCTTCATATGGCAATACTGTAGCTGCTTAAACTTATGATGTTGTAGCCTACCTTGTACAGTTAAATGAAATCTTAATACTAATCTTGAATCTGATGTAAAGTAACTCATTTCTCAAGTAAAAATTGCCATATCAAGAGCATTACAAGAACATCACAAGTTTGTAGAGTAACAATTTACAGCTGTGCTCAGGTTAACTATCAATTAGATGCAAATTGTCATCATAACTGGCAAAACTGCCTGTGTAATGAAATACCCAAAATATCTCTGTTCATATCAAACCATACCTCACGGAACACTTTGATAATGAGGTCGTGATATTCATCAGAATTCAGAGTCAGATAACACGTCAAAAGCTCTTCGTATTCTTCTGGTTGATGAATATGCAACTCTGTGATCATCTCAACCATTGAATCTCTGAAGTCCTTCTCTGGATTCAATGAACATCTCACCACAGCAAAGCTATCTGACACTTCTGTTTTCTCCAGCATTCTCTCCTTTGCTTTCTTCGTCTTCAGTTTTGCTTTCTTCAAGTCTTCCAGAGCCTTTATTTTGCAGATTTCAGTCTTGGAACCCACCCTTGGAGAATAAACTCTCACCTTAGAGCTGTGCTTTGGTTTCCTTGCCTTCGTCTCATTCTTCCTCGAATGCTGCCTCTCCACTCCCAATTTTTCCTCAGAGGACCGACTTTCAGTTTTAATACTTCTAAGGTTGTGATTCTTCGAAACTACTGAAGGAACAAAAGAATGTTTTCTAGGTGTACAAATTGCCCTAGGTGACTCAAGTTGTAGCACATATTTTTCTTCTGATTTAGTAGATGCAGATTCAGCTTTATCCGTAGCTTTCTCAAAAGCTTGCTGTGCTTTCTTCTCAAAAGTCCTCCTTAACTTCTCTAGTTCTTTTTCTCTATTATAACCATAATCATCCATCTCCATTGAAATCTTGGAATCTTTTGGAAATTTGCTTTCTGCCACTGTACCTTTCTCCTCCTTCTCCTTCAACTTCAGAGTTCCTTCTTTTCTTCCATTTTTCCTGTCATTCCATCCACCACGATTACAACTAAAGACTGGAATAACAAGATCATCATCCAGATTGCTCAACTCCGTTTCAAGAATATCCTTACTTCTCTTTCTCTCATGACTCTCTTCACCAAATGGAATTCTATAGAAACCATCATCATCCCCACCATGAGACACACCACCTCCAAGCCCACAAGCATACTGTGATGAACTAACAGAAAGAGAATTCAGCTTTCCCTTTTGCTTCACTTTTCCATCACTTGGCTCTGTATTGACCCTCATCCGCTTGAACTTGGACAGCCATGAAAGAAGAGAGACATGAGAGATAAATGAAGGTCTAGATGAAGACGCAGGAGATGATTTTTTTCGACCCCACCTCATCATTTGCTGCTGCTGCAGACAAGAACAAGAATTTTTGTTTGTTCGTGTGTTTTGAGATTGAAACTATTGAGTCGGTTAAATAATAAGTGATCGGTTGCAGAGAAGATGAAGTGGAATGAAGGATAAGTGATGGTGGTAGGAGATTTGAAGCTTGTAGAACGGTTAGGGATGTTTAATGGGGACGTGGGTTTCTTACTGGCTTTTATGGTGTGTTTGCAAAGGAGGTACATGGTCTCTCATTTCCTGTGACCTCTCACCCACTTTTCCTGCTCCTTTTTTCAGTTTTTACGAGAGAGGGACCTCTATTTTAGGCCCACAAACTGTTGAGTTATGGCTGAAAAGTAGCACCAACTACATTTTTACAGTCACTTAACTGCAATACTTTTTGCCACCATCAAGTGCATTTAACTTATATATCCGCAGGATTTGGTTACATTTTAGATGGTATAATGGAAGATTGGAAGTAAACACACCAATATTGGGTATTGTTGGCAAGAATAACCAATTTCTGAGATTAACGTACAGTCGTATTGTTTTCATTAAAAGCTTCTACTGTTCCTTAAGTCTTTGGATGTTTTACTAGGATGTTAATCTAGTCTTCTTTTTTTGTTGAAGTTTTACTACCTCGTTTCCGATTCTTTCACCCAAATCATTGTTTCTTTTGTGCTTTTTCCTCTTTCCATGTCAAGTCAATTCTTTCCGCTACAGTCATAGTTTCATGCGTCCATACGCTGTTGGGCTGCTCTGTCCTCCAGATCAAGATGACCAAAACTGGATCTTAAACTCTTTGTTATCAGCCTATTTGGGCATCAGTCAAGAAGTAAGATATCGAATTAGCAGGATTCTATGTGCCTAAAATATAGATCTTCTATATGTACATGTTTATTCTTTGGCTAATTGATTATCTGGAATTGTGATGGAATCTCCAATTGAAATTTAAATACTCGCCTTTTCATGCAACTGCACTCGCTGTAAACTCATCTCTATTCGGATGTGATTTTGTGGTGGTGACATGACATGTTCCTAATAAACCAGATATGGATGTGGGCATTATACCTGCAAATTCCCTGTCAAGAGTTTTCTCTTACTATCTTGGACTTCTGAGTTATGACAGCAAGAACTTGGATTGGAGTGTTCAAGTCAAGCATGGCGCCCATCACTTCGCAGAGAGGAAAAAGGCCCAAAAAAAAAAAGATGAAATAATTTCTATGTAATTATCCAAGCTCCCTCTTTCAGCACCGTGTTGACAATAAGAAACATACTTCATCTTCAAGTTCAAGGACCGGAATTCTTCTCTCCATTGTTTTGAATGTGAAAGCGTTTAACTGAGGATTATACTTTACAGTTTCAAAGTCGATGCGTCAACGTAGATCGGTGATTTATTTCAGGTCAATTCACCAAATAAAAAAAGATGGGTTGTTCAAAGTTCGATTAAAACAAAACAGCCGACATGTTGATCCGTTCATTTGTGTTCTCCTCCGGCTACAAATGTGTTATAGTATGCTGGCAAATTAACTTCAAACGAAAAATATATTCAATATATACGCATATAGACAATAAGATAAATAATATAGATGATTTATAGTAAAACATCAAAAAAAATTATGAAATGAGATTTTAGGGTCCATTTTGCTCCCAGAAATGAAGGGAATAGAATAAAAAATAAAAAAAATAGAATAATCGATTTATAGGGAAGAAATAAGTCTATTATATTTATAGGAAGAAAGATAATTTAATTTATGAGATTGGAGATTATGATTTACGAGGTTTATGAAGGATATGATAATTCCCGTATTTGTGGTATGTGATATTAAATATTATTATGCTTATCATGTACATGATGGTAATTTAATATACAGTTTTGTTCTTATTTTTTAATCCATGCTCATTTTCTTAACAACCAAACGGGTCCTTATTTTTAAAAGGAAGAAAAACCAGGAGCTACTAGAATGCTGACGCGTACAATAGAGAAATGGGGCAAGAAAATAAGGTAGTGGAAGGAAACTAAGTGGCAACTGCCTAAGACAAATGGAGGTGTGGAATATTGTATCTGGTCGTTCTGGTCATTATTATATCAAGAATATGTTAGCTCCACTTCTCCACCATTCAATGTCACCCATCCTTGAAATTTCTCCTCTGCTTTTCTCCAGAATCTTGACTCATATATATAATGCAGAATTTTCTAGAATAACATTAGCATCATGACAGCGAACCTTCCTCCACATTTTGAGGCATTAAGAGTCTGGGAATATGACATCTCTTACTGTAATGCACCTTTGTTCTATCTTTCTGGCAGAAAAAGGAATCTCCATGTCAAAGTGGGCAATAAAACTAACACGAGGTTAATTTGAAGGACTTCCAATTAGTTGATTACACTCCCAGACTGGAATAACAGGTACGAGACAGGTCTGACTGAAGACCAGCTATCAAATTCTTGACTGAACTGCGGAGAATATATACCACCAGAGCATGTACCCAGATGACGTTGGAGAATCATATAAGATTTATGATAACAAAATAGTTAAAGGGAAAAAAAAAAAAAAACACTAGCAATGGAATGGGATTACTTGAGATTTTCTATTATTGCTTCTTGTACATTACGCGTGCCTATCAATGGATCTCCCAGAATGCACATGGAACAACTTGTGTCATTTCTTTATGATCTTATATTTCAATGAAAGAATATGTAGAGACTTGCAACAAAACTGTGGGGAATGTAAAAAACCATTAGTGTGTTACGCTACAGGACAGGGACAGACATGGACATTGGTACTGAAACATCCCCCACAAAGGTTGTATCTCTGCTAGTAGCTGAATTGCCAGCATATGCATATCCTACACCTAGTCCACCATAATGTAAAGCTGCATCTTCACATCTATGAAACACTCTAGCAAGTGAGGCTGCTTTCCTTCTAGCTCTCTTTGTTCCTGTAAAAAGCAGGGTTTGGAGTAAGCCAGCCAAAGCCGGCACCCTCACCACCTTCTCTGTTGCTGCTGCACCTCCACTCCGGCATAGCTCCAACAATGCTGCCACAGCATTCTCTTTCCCCCGTGCGGTTCCACAACGCATCATTCCCATCAGTCCAGACACTGCTTCTTCCTCCTTCACCACTGCCTTGGCCCCGATAGGTTGCCGGACGATCAAGGCAAGGGAACCTGCTGCTTCCTCAGCCACTCCGTCAGTCCCCAGAGCACCAACTAGAGCTGTTATTGCTCCGGCTTCAACCATTCTGACACAGTTATCAGTATGGGTGGAAAGATTGAATAAAGCTGTTACTGCATCCTTCTTTCCTCTTAAGTTACCCTCTTGCAAAAGCTGTGCAAGGGCTTCAATTGCCCATGCCTTATCTGCAATTCTCTTCTTGTATCCGTGGACTGCTGAGAGGCTGAACAAGGTTGCGGCAGCATTCTCCCTGGCCTCTGTTGTGTGGCCTAATCTCAGCACATCAATTATGGATTCCAGACAACCTTCCTCATCAATGATCCGGCTCTTGTTCTTCTCGTATATTGACAGGTTGAGCAATGCAGTCACTGAATTCTCCTGAGCAACAGCATTAGGAGATGAAAGTAGTTTACGAAGGCAAGGAATCGCCCCAGCTTCTGCGATAAATGCACGATTTTCTTTGCCTGTTTTTGAAAGTAGTCGTATCTCCCGGGCAGCTATGGTCTGTGCAGTTTGTGATCCCTTCTCCAGATGCAGAATGAGGAGCATTGTTGTTGCTTGGTTGGCTTCAAGGGCCGCTTTCGAGGGAGAAGCCATTGAAAAGGTATCTGGAACTACATCTACCACCTCTGATGGGTCAGGAGGGATTCCATGTGCAGTGCAGAACTTCAAGATCAAATTCTTCAGAGCTCGATTAGGGACAAGCTTTGTGTGGGCAAGCATTTGCCCTGTCTTTGGACAAGTACAATGCCCTTCTTCCAACCACCTGGATATGGAGCTCCTATCATATGTTTGTCCAGTGGAGATTATCACTGGGTCTTTCATCAAATCCAACGATATTGGGCAATAAAAATCCTTAGGAATGGTTACAAATGTTTCAGCAATTTCTTGAGTAATCAATCTCTTCAGTTTTTTTATCTGGTTCCTATTTTCTAACTCTATTTCATCTTCCTCAAATCCGAAGAGCAAAAATCTGGAATACCGAGTCAATGCAACCAAACCATTAAGCACAGTAACTGTTAGCTCAACATCTCCTTCGTGGTTAATAATTTGCTCCTCCAACGACTCAATTTCTGTTCTACAACTCCTAGGATGCAGAATCTGCAATTTCATCATAAAAAAAGATCGAAGCTGAGCTGAATCAGGGACTCGCCCATTCTCAAATTCATCGAGATACGACAAGAACTCAGTCCGGAGCTCATCATCATTTTTGTCAATAAACAACTTAGCTCTTCGTGATTGTTTCTGCAACAACTCAATCTGTTCCCTAATATCATCACTCAATTGAACATCCTTAATGGGGAATACATCCAAAAGAGTCGATATTTCTTTATTCAAATCGTGGAAATGACCAGAAATTGAATGGTTCTGAAGCAAAAACCATAACTTACTCGACTGCGCGCAATAATCAAATAGAATCTTCGACCGATACAGAAGAAGATAAAGCTCCTTAAGACAAACTGACCCTGCCATCGGAATATTCGTTCCGTTATCTCGCAAATACTCTAAAAGCAAGTGAAGCACCTCGACTTTTCGAATAAGCGCCCGCGAATTCTTGCGCTGGAAGAAGAACGAACGCCCAGAGAAGCAAGAGACGAGCCCACTAGCGACGGACACGAGAGTTTGGACCAAGGCAACATCCGTCAGGTCAACCGGAGCAAGAAAGGCTTCCAATGACGGCGACCTCCGCCGCCGCAGGGACGAAAATATAGCCCCCGAAGCCATATAAATGCAGCAAGAAATTCTCGGGTTTTCAAATCCACTTACTCCAAGAATTCGATGAGCATACAGCTCCTACGATTTCGAAGGTCCACTTCGGTGGGGAACGGCCCTCAAAAGCCAGAAAAACAATACAACAAAGGAGTAATTTTTGCAGAGAGAGACCGAAAAAAAAAAAAAAAGAACTCGATTTCCTGAGCAAATAATTTGATCTACAAAGCTAAGTGGGCAAAAATTTTCGAGGTACCAAACAACAAGAACAAAGACTAAGTACCAATTGCTGTTGAAGGAAGTTTGATGGTTGAAAGGGGTTAAAAGGAAGAAGTGGGAAGTTGCGAAGGAGAGGAAGAAGGGGATTAATTAATAGGGAAGAAGAATACGCGTGAAAGAAAGGAAGAGGAAGGGAATTCCAATGACGTGGTTTATTAATATTTCAATGCAGCGTTGGTGACACTGACTTTGGCGAAACTTTGACGGATGATTATGCAGATTAGATTCCTGTCCATTGCTTTTTGTTTCGATCTGAATACGATGGAGGCTTGGACAGGATAGATTTTGGGGTGTGAGGTCAGTGTGTGTCAGATAATCTTCTGCCGGCTTTCTGCGTGTGTCTCTTTTTCCCTCTCCATGTTTTGACCTCTCAACCGATCTCTTGTCTTTTGGCCAAAAAAAAAAAAAAATTTGATCCCTCCTCTCTGATCCTAAGAATTGAGTTGAGGGCATTTCTTTTCAGGGCACTTTTGCGAAACTCATGTTATAAAATCAAATGATCAAATGATGTAAATAACTTAATATTTATTACTTTCAACGTTTAAAAATATAAAATATTTTTAATTAAATTTCATTTAAAAAATAATCATTTATTTTTTAATTAATTTTTTATTTTTATTTATCTTTATTAAATACTCTATAATAAATATAAAGTTATTATCAATAAGGGCATTTTTGAAAAAAGACATTAATTACACCTCCAAAAATTAAAAATACCTTACATTTTTTAACATCCAACTCCTCAAAAAATACCTTACGTATTTTAACAGAGAAAGTATGTTTTATATTATAATTTATTTATTATATTTATTAATAATATTATATTAAATTGACTACACTCTTAAATTTTTAAAATTTTGATTCATAATTTTGAAGCACAAGATTTTTTTTTTTGGCCAATGAACCAATTTATCATTCTTTTACATGCATCCCATTTTCCTTTTTAAAAAAGTTGAGAATGTATTGACCAATTAAGTCATGAGAGAAAACAAATTTACTCCTCAAATTTATGAGAGTTGGTTACTTAACTTTATATATTTTAGCGATAAAAAAATTATTTGTATTATGAAAATAGAGATTGAGATAAAGAGAGAATAGGAAAAACCATAATAAGAGAATGAAAGAATGGAGAGCTTTCTCATTTTAGTGTAAAGAATACAACTGAGGTGCTTTATATTTGTAAGCACAAATATATCAACTAAATTAAATAAAATATATGCGATAATAATAACTTAAAAATATTATGGTAATTGAAAGATATTAGAGAGTATGAGATATTGAATATTCACACAATATATTAATATTTATAACACTTCCTCTTAAATATCTAGATATTGTGCCTCATTAAAACTTTACTAACAAAAATTTAGGAAAGAAAAAAGAGTATATAATATCTTATAATTATTAAAGCGACCTTCAAAACTTCCTCTCTATACATATTTTCGAGATATTAAAACATTTTCCAAATGTCATATATTTTGAGAGTAGCAGAACAATTCTTAATATACATGTATTTTCATAAATAAGTAACCTCTTAGAGGTCAACTCATGTGATTCAAACTCGACATGTACAACGCATGCATGATCAATTAATTTTGATCATAAATTAGTTTAGTAAGGCAACTACGCATAATAATTTCTCAAACATATCGTATCAAATACATAACTTTATTATAATATCATAAATTGTGATATGAAAGCGATCATATATGGTGCTTAAAGACCATATTTCATTATCCTCTTGGAAAAAAAAACAGGATCGCAATTCATTTTTAATCACCCAGTATCTTAATATCTTTCTTTAACAATCAAATGATCATGTAAATTCTTCAAAATATTCAATAATGCTGATGCAAATTAATATGCATGTAATCATATGAACAAATGACAAAAAAAAATTGAGAATCTTTATAAACTTTTATCATCTTGAATTCTGCTAGAATTTTCGAGTAAATACCACTATACAGAGACTGATATAAATAACTCAGCATTCATTAGATGCAAATCATATTTATATACTACTAAACGAGTAACATGTCCAAAGATAATTTCATCCACTACCAAACAGCATATTGACACATATATTTGATCTTTTCAAAACAATCTTATATTGAAAGTCAAGTTTTTCATATGACATTTCATATTTTTCTTTTGCATAAATGCCTATATATGATATATTGCACTTCATCTACTTGAACTATAAGTTCATAACTTTCATATCATGAACAAATGAATATAATTCTACTTGTATTGCATCTTTTTCTCTAATTTGATCAACTTTGTATCCACATTCTATGAAGATCCTCATTTGATTCAAATTTTTCATTCTCATTAAAAATGTTGTCAAAAACTTTAATCTTTTTGGTTCGATTATTTTTCATATTAACATAACTTTTCAAAATCTCTTTATTGATATCAAGTACCTGATCCTCTTCTTGGTATCTAAAGCCAATTATGTCTTGATCTCTTTTAAAATGCTAGCCTCATTAATATGAGCATCTTCATTATATGCTCATCTTTTCTCTTTCTATAAGATTTTCTTTCTTTGAAACCAAGTTGCCTTTCATTCTTTTTTTTTTTTATATCTTGGAGCATTATCAATTAGAACATGAATTCAATAATTTTCATTATGTCAATATTTACTTCTAGCATCTATTTTTTAAAATTTCATGCATGCAATATTTTATGAACTTCTGCTTCCTATATATATATATATATATATATATGAGGATCTATATAATATATAAAAAATACATTTATTCAATTTTAATTTCCAACTATTCATTATCTCTACCTCATTTTAGGATAACAAACCATGAAATATAAGCTTTTTAACTTCATTTGTTTCCCTATAAAAAAAATTCTTTTATTTCATTTAGAAAAATAAGGAAAAGAAAAAGTATATTTCCCAATATCTCCTCCCAATTTTATTTGAACATCTATTAAACTATGGTAGAGTTCGCACAATAAAATATATTTAGCTCTTGTCAGAAAGCCATTTTAGGAGTTATTCACAATACTTTATTTGCTTGATACATATAAGTGTTATAACATGCAAAGTTGCATATTTTATGGAAAATTTTGTTTTCCCAATATTGATCTAATTATCTCATTAGGCATAAATAATTTTAATAGACTATTATGACAAATAGACTTTACGTAACATCCTAAGTTTTCTCATTAGTAATTATCAGTGTTTTCAAGGATAATTTGATCAATTTAAATAAATTATTATTTAACGAGGTTTATGAAAACTAATATGATTTTTGGATCCTTTGACAATCTTAGAAGAGGGTTAGGTCGAGGTTCATGTAACATCCCAATTTAAATTTTAATAGTTAATTTTTTGTAAATAGAAATTTTAAAAAAAATATTTAGAGGTAAGCAAATTAGTAGGAGATGATTATTAAATCTAACTTAGGATATAATTCTAAATTAAAAAAATAAAAAAAATAATTAAAATAATAATAATAATAATAAAATATTATTATTAAAATATTATTATTATTATTATTATAATAAAAAGTATGAGAAAGAAGGAAAGAAAGAAGAGAACAAGATGGCTTTCAGTGCTCTTCCCCGGTGCAATGATTATATTTATATAATAATAATTAAAAAAAAGAAGAGAGAGGAAATAATTAAAAAATATGGGACCCACAGTATTTTTTTTAAAAACCCATCTCTCCTTCTTTGTTTCTTCATTTCTCCCTTTTTCATTTCTCTTCGTGCGCGAACAGAGGGGGCGACGGTGTGCAAGCTTGTCGGTGCTGGGTTTTAAGGTAAGAGTTTTTAATAGGATATTTAAGGTGTGATTTTAAGCTTTTTAAGACTAAGTAAGTGTTCTAAAATTTTTTCTTAGTCATCCTTCTTCTTTGGTTTCTAATTTTGTAGTGGTAGAAAATTTAAGATCTGGAAGAGAGATGAATTTATATTGAATAAATATGGTTTTTGAGGTTGTCAGTAGTATAATAAATGTTCTAGAGTATAAATTTGTTGATGATCTTTGAATTTGTGGCTTATGGATCAAATTCTAAACTAGATCTGAAAATATATGTTGATTTATTGAGGTTTAGATGATTATTTGGGATGAGAAATAAATTATTATGGTTATAGGATTATGATTCTAAGCTAGAGACTCAATTTTTAATTTTTGGGTATTTTAGGTACGAATTTATGAAATAAAAAAAAATTTTGATAATAGAAATTAGTTTAGAAGTTGATTTTTAGATTATTAATGTTTATTGATAATTAAAAGAGGAGTTAAAAATTTTACTTAATAGTATTGACTCTAGATTTGTATTAAGATTGAGATTAGGAATTATGTTATATTTTTAATTCTATTATTAGAATTATTTTATTAGTTTCAAAAATTAAAACTAATATTTATAAATAATATGTTATTTGTAGATTGTATTACTGGTGAAGATTGTGGTGAGAGAGAAATTTTAAGGAATAATTTATTGAAAAAGACACGAGGTAACCATGTTTTTAATTTATGATTAGTGTTACTTCATGTTAATTGGGTGATTATTGAGAAAATTATGAATTTTTTTTATATTGTATATTGTGCAATATTATTATGAATTTGTTTGATTATTGTGGGAGGTGTTGGGAGACTTGCTATTGTTATTGTATTTATGTGCCACGTGGTACGCCCCTATTGGAGCTCAATAGGTGGCTTGTAAGGGCTCGGGCTAATCTACCTTTGGCCGGGTAATTTAGCACCGAGTGAGGGCTACAGCTCAAGGTTAATGGAGGATATAAGGATGGTTGTTTGTGTATATTATAATATTTCTTATATTTGTTGGAATTATATTATTTTTAATTCTCACTTAGTAAGCACACACTTAACTGTTTGTATACACTATCATAAATTAACTTTGGTTACTGGGATTTTTGAGTCTCATTATGTGGTTAACAATTTTCAGGAGAAGAGCCACAAGTGACACGTGGAGGAGTCCCAGAGGCTTAGTGGTATAGATCCACTGTCTCTTTTGGGTATTTAATTTATAATTTATAATGTGTTATATTGTCAATATTAGGGCTTTTTGTTTATTGTCAATTATATAAATATATAAATGTAATCATGCCTTTTAAACTATTTCTATTTTTGATACAATTTGGATGACTGTAATTTTAATATTTGGTTTTCTTTGGATTGGTTAAAATGGCATGATTATAAGGCCAAATAACTGGCTTGTGTTGAAAATTTATTAAATTGCTTATTTTACTTGTTGGGAGTATAAGGATGGACAAATGTGATTTAGTTTACTTGTTGGGAGTATAAGGATGGACAA